CCCCCAAACTGCCCCCACAAGGCCTCGGAGAGCGTTCAGAAAAACACCCAAGAAGCATCCCTCAAGGCTCCGACCCACAATCCAGGCACGGTGGCGGGGTGGGGTTGGGCCGACGGCCAATCGATAAGCTATGTCGAAAGTGTGGTCGTTGTTTCCCTCCATCCCTCTGTGCATGTTTCATGTGTGTCTGCCTTGCAACCTACCAACCACAAACAATCACGGAACGTTTTCATAGTACCGTGGGGCCTAATATATCGTGTGCTCGTCGACCCCAAACGAATGCTGGCGACGTAACGGGTTCGAAACTCAACGCCGCGTGGCTGTAGGACCTCGAAGCTGCATAACGCAGACGCACTCATGTGGACGGCAAGAAATCCTGATGCACTCTGGATGGTTTCACCCATGGACAAACACACAGCCGATGCCCATGCTTCCAGGAGCTGTATGCATGCATCTTCCTCCCTCTCCCCCCACGTCTACCTGGATCGGCTTGCAGGCGTTGAACCCCAGGGTCGACCATTGATATGGCAAGCAAAACACGAGGTCGGAAGGGCCCAAGTACTTAACAAACACGTGGGGTAGCACTGTCCATCAGGGTCGGGTACTGTTCGGCCAATGACGGCTGACCAATTCAACATACATGGTTTCGCAATAAGGTACAACATGCACTTCATCCTGAAACAAACGTACCCGTCGGCGACTTCCTTGTCCTTTTCGTCGCTCGAGGTCGTCAGGTGGGTGTGGAAGAGGGCGAGAGGGAGTAAGACAAACAAATTACCCGAACCGTACCCGGACCTTCCTCAACGCGAGCCGACTATTTGAAAGACACTTACATAAAGAAGAACACGCTGCAAGGACACCCTGTTTCGCTGGACCACCCAAGAGCCCACGAATGTGGCATAGTTGCGCAATTCGCAACAACCCTAGGAGCAGCGAGGTCTCGGCGATGACGGGCGTCACGGGGGATGGGAGGCGGGGGGGGGTCAGCCGCGCCCGCGCGCACGACGACGATGAGCGACGACCGAGGAGCGAAGAGCGAGGAGCGACGACGACGACGACGCGAGCAGCATGACGGTGGTGATCTGCCCCACAACGCCTGTGTACACCACAGTGCTCGCGTGCACCACAGCGTGCGTGCACACCACAGCGCCTGCGAACACCGTAACAGCCGTGTGCAACGTAGCGCATGTGCACACCATTACACGTGATATTGATATTGGAGAGAGCGTGATCCACCGCCGCTTTACTGTGGAAAATTGCCAACCTTTTCCTCCGGAACCCGGGGGTCGCCCCCCCCCCCCCCCTCCGAAAATCCCCCCCCCCCTGCTGGAACCCCTCCCCCCCCCCCCCCCCCGGCAAAACCCCCCCCTCCCCTAACCCCCCCCCCCCCCTCCCGCTCGAAAACCGGGGGGGTCACTACCTTCGAAACCCCTCCCCCCCCCCCTTCCGGATCCGGAAAACCGGGGGGTCACTACCGGTTCGAACCCCCCCCCCCCCCCCTCCCCCCCCACCGCCAGCAAACGACTCCCGGTCCCCACCACCGTCCGCATCACATCCCCCACTGGTGTTCCCAGCACCACTGTCCTCACCACCGCTGTCCCCACTGGTTCCACCACCGCCCCTACTGTCCCCACCAGTGGCCCCACCACTGTCGCACTGTCCCCGCTGTCCCCAGAACTGTTCCCACCACGGTTCCACTCTCCCCACTGTCTCCACGGCCCCAACCACTGCCCGACTATCCCCACTGTCCCCACTGTCCCACTGACTCCTCCGCTGTCCCACTGAGCTGTCCCACTGTTCCCACCACTGTCCCCACTGTCCCCACCACTGTCCCCACTGTACCTCTGTCCCATTGTCCCACCGCCGTCCTCGCCACCGCCTTCACCACTGTCCCCACCACCATTGTACCCTCCACTGTCCCACTGTTTCCACCTCATTCCCATTGTCCCCACACCACTGTCCCCACCACCACCGTCACCACCACTGTCCACTGTCCCCCCCTGTTCCCACCATTGTCCCCACCACTGTCCCCACCACTACCGTCCCCACCACTGTCCCACTGTCCCACTGTCCCCACCACTGTCCCGCACCCCTCACCACTGTCCCCACCAACACCGTCTGTCCGCACCCCCACTCGGTTTTCGACCCGGTACTGTCCCCAGTCCCCACCACTGTCCGCACCCCCACTCGGTTTTCGAGGGGGGGGGGGGGTGAACCGGTAGTGACCCCCCCCCGGTTTTCCGGATCCGGAGGGGGGGGGGGGGGGGGGGGGGGTTACCCCCCCCCACTTTCGATGAGCAGGGGGGGGGGGGGGAGGGGTTCGAACCGGTAGTGACCCCCCCCGGTTTTCTGGAGGGGGGGGGGAGGGGAGGGGTTCGAACCGGTAGTGACCCCCCCCGGTTTTCCGCCAGCAGCGGTAGAACACGCTCTTTCTGATATTGCAATCGATTCTGATATCAATAGTGGAATCGATAGTAAGGACGATTGTGAGGTCGATCGTGGGACCGAACGCGAAGTCGATTCAACGAGATCGATAGTGAAATCGATCGTGAAATCGCTCGTGCAATCTATGGTGGGACCCATTGACGGACCAATACTGAAATCGATGGCGAAGTGGGTGATGAGATCGATGGTAAAACCGATCGATTCGAATATCCATCAAAACCAGGGAAGCTGGGAAACCCGTCGCCCATCGAAATCGGCCCGAAACCGGGAACCCGGGAACCCGGTACCGGAAACCCGGGAACCCGGGAACCCGGCCGCCCACCGAAATCGGCCCTGCAATTTTGCCAAATCTTTAGTATCCGCCAGAACCCCTTCAGTGCAACCGCTGATTGGGGAACAATGCTCGCGTGCACCACAGCGCGCGTGTACACCACAGTGCCTGCGTTTACACCACAATGCTTGCGTGCACCGCAGCGCCTCTGCGCACCAAAGCGCCTGTCTACACCGCAGCATACGCATGCAACGCAGCGCTGGGTATACACCACAGCGCCTGCGTGCACAAGACAAGCACAGGGAGAATGTAGGTGAAGATCTGCTGCGGACAGCTAAACGCTACGCTAGGGAACTACGGATAATGAAATGCGACGTTTTCCCCCCCCCCCCCCCCTCCTCCACTTCCAACTCCTCCTCCTCCTCCTTTTCCTCCTCCTCCTCGTCCTTTTCTTCATCTTCCTCCTCCCTCACCCTTTCCCCGTGTCGTGCGGGTCGGCGTTGCAGCGCACGTGCGCATCTCAGCGTGCACCGCAGAATGGTCGATTGAATCAATACACTTGATTCTCGGACGGCCAATTTTGCTGGAGCCTCCTGGGCGCAGATGGGAAGAGTTAGGGTGATGCGGGCGGACTCGGGAGGACTTGCAGATTCTAAGGACTCCTGTCCATATCCAACATCAAAGAACTGCTTGCCTGTGGAATCCACAGGGGCTACATTTTGTCATAAGGATTCCTTCTCGAATTCTATATGTGACAATGATGTTTTGTTGCACGCGGACGCTGTGGTGCACACGGGCGCCGTGGTGTACACAGGAGCTGTAATGCACGAGGGCATTGTGGTGTACACTGGTGCTGTGTTGCACACAGCGGATGTGGTGTACGCAAGCGCTGTGTTGTACGCAAGCGCTGTGGTACCCGCGGGCAGTGTGACACACACTGGCGGTGTGTTGCATGCGGCCGCTGTGGTGTACATAGACGGCGTGGTGTACACAGGCGCTGTGGTGCACGCAGACACTGTGATGTACACAGGCACTGTAATGCAGATCGCCACCTACATGCTGCTACTACCCGTCCTCGGCCATTCCTACACATTCCCAAACGCCGCCGACGCGAAACGTGACGTCATCGGCCACCTCCACCCCCCCCAGATGAGTGCCGTCATCGGCCCGGAGCAAAGCAAAACCAGGATCCAGCCGCGTCCGCGCGCACAACGACGACGATGATTGACAAGTGACGAACAACGAGCGACGAGCGACAACGACAACGACGAAGACGACGACGACGACGGCGGCGGCGACGAGGACGACGACTGCGGACCAAACTCCGATGTGCATCCCTATGCGGCCACCTCAGCGGATCCCGATGCGCACAGCGGCAGCACTCGGAGCGCACTGGGGGAGGGGAAGCATTACGTAAAAGGGGGCGGGGCGGGAGCCATGACGCCCGTCATGCCCCAAACAATAACAAAAACACGTTCCTACTCCGCCGTGCCTCGCAGGAGCCCACTACCGTGGCGACAATTGCTCGGATCGCAGCCACTCAAAATGCTGCGAGGTCTCGGCTGGATGCCCGTACTCCCCTATTTCGCCGTGCCTCCCAGCAGCCCACGCAAGTGGCGGCGATGGCGCAGTTTGCAGCCACCCAAAGAGCAGCGAGGTCTCGGTTGGATGCGCGTACCCCCCTACTCTGCCATGCCTCTTAGGAACCGACGCAGGTGGCAACAACTGTGCAATCCGCAGCCACTCAGAGCTGCGAGGTCTCGGCTGGATGTGCGTACTCACCTACTCCGCCGTGCCTCCCGGGAGCCCACGAACGTTGCGACAACGCAATTCGCAGCCATCCGTGGAGCCGCGAGGTCTCGGCTGGATGCGCGTATTCCTCAATTTTGCCATGCCTTCCAGGAGCCAACGAAAGTGGCGACAATTGCGCAGCTCGCAACCACCCAGGGGGGCCGCGAGGTCTCGGCTGGATGCGCGTACTCTCAGGAGCCCACGCAAATGGCGACAATTGCGCAATTCGCAATTCGCAGCCACCCAAGTAGCAACGAAGTCACGGCTGGATGCGCGTACTCCCCTACTCCGCCGAGCCTCCCAGGAGCCCACGAAAGTGGCCACACTTGCGCAGTTCGCAGCCACCCAGGGAGCAGCGCAGGAGGGGGAAGGAGGGGAGAGGAGAAGGAGAAGGATGAGTGGATACCATAGTGCTTTATCCAACACGAGAGCCAACACACAGGATGGTTGGACAAAAAGACAGAAGGAGAGAAGCCCCGAAACAAGGAGGCTCCGCGACGGTTTCGATCATGTTGTTATTCAACTTCACCGCAACGCATACCTTCCGGATGATCTTCTTGGGCGAAAGGCCGTGCTGGCCCCTGACCCAATGCCCGATTTGAAGAGGGCCAACGGCCACTGGCATGCCCCTACCCTTTATCCTCCTCACACTCGCCCTCGCCTCCCTGGCACAGACGCGCAAGCCGCAAGCTGTCCTAAACGTCTCATGGAGAAAAAGACGTAATGGATGACGTAACGGCGCATAACAAATCATCACTCCATGTCGCGCAATGCCAACCACATTGTGAACGCTGCGATCCAAATTTCTCAAACGGATTCCTTTCTGCTGTGGAAGGTGGCACGGGTAGACCACAAAAAACGGTTGAGAAAAACGACGAGACCTACCGATAAGATAGCCCACAAGGTGGTAAGGCGAATAAGGGTGGCGGACATGACGATGTGTGATGGATTCCGTGTCAAGATGGTAATCGATCGACTTGCATACCCTACTCAATAAACCGGCCCCCTTGCGAGGCCACCAGGCTGCAAGGGTGGAGATTGCAACTCCCTGTTCCAATTGCAGTTTCCTGTTTCCACTGTTACAATCCTGCTTTCTGCTTCCTTACTGTTAATTGTTGCTGTCCGCGCGAGGGGTGGGAGCCCCAACCGGGATTTTTTACCACGCCCTGAGAGGGTTGTCGAAATCTCTCGGGGAGTGAAATTGTATATAAAGCTTCGTAAAGACACACGATTCGCGTCCCCAAAGCAATACAACCTCGTAAAATACGCAACAATTGCGTCGAGGCCGTAAGCCCTAATAAATTGTCCGATCACCGCTTTAAATTACACCATACTCGCGACCCCGAAGCCGTGAACCTCCAAAAAAATACAAGATTCGCGTCCCCGGGGCTATAGACCCTTGAAAATTACACCGTACTTCGCGTCCCCGAGGCCATGAACACTAGTAAATTACGCAATGATTGCGCCCCCGAGGCCATAAACCTTTAATTCATACAATCGTTGCGCACCCGAGGCCACAAACCCTCGCAAATTATACAACATTCGCGGCCCCGAAGCCATAAACTCCAATAAATTACTGAATGCTCGCGCCACCGACGCCATAAGCCATAATACATTACGGCATGCTCGCGTTCCGGAGGTGAGAAACCCTGTAAAGTATTCAATATTCGTGTATTCGAAGCCATCACCTCTTGTAAATTCATGAATGTCCGCGTTCCCGAGGCCATTAAACCTCGTGAAGTATACAATAATTGCGTCCCCGAGGCCTTAAATTTTAGTACAGTACATAAGGAATGTAACAATTGGTTGTGAACCTGAATGTGCCGCTTACCAGTCGCCCTCTCATGAGGTTCCGACATTGCTTCGTAATGGCGCCGAGGAAATCCAGCACAACTCTGGCATATCCCATTCCGATAGAGAGGGGGCCGGCGGCAGGGGGCGAAGCCCTTTTCTCTGACGTGAAGTTTCTCTCTTTCTCGCTCGCTCTCTTCCCCTTGCGATGTTCGTGTGGAGTACTGCGTACGTCTGCCAACCAGTTCGATGCTCATGCACTACCTAGACTTTGCGACATTCCGTGGAATTACCTGGTCCAACCCGCTGGCCGTGAGCCTTTGCAAATATGCGGGGGCCCTTCGCCTCGCGGCCTCAAGAACAACCCTAGTCGAGCCAGGGAGATACTTCAATCATTAGGGGGAAACAAACCTACCTCGCTTTTGACCACCCTCGCTTCCAAGAGATACCAAACGATGCCAAATTGCAGCCTGTACTGGTCAGGCCGCTTGACGAGGAGGCGCGTGGTATGGCTTGGGTATGCCTGGAAGCGCAGGCGGGGGAGGTAATTCACGCTCTGAAATCAGCCAAGACAGCTTCGAGTGCCTCCCAAAGAAGCCTCCGACGGTCGAAAGGTAGCCCAGCGACCCTGTAGACGGTGCGCAGGGGCTCCGAGAAGTGAGAATCGTCAAAATTCCAGTTGAGTCTTTGCGCACCCGTGTCGCCCGAGACCCCGACAGCGGATCGGCTTTGGATGGCCCCCCGCACTCCCCGTGCACGGCCGTGCACGCAAATGCGCGGACGTGGGTGCAATGCTCATCGGCACGTGTGGCGCATCGATTCGTGGGCGAAAGAGATTCTGTATTCGAAGATACAGATACGCTGAGCCGCGGTCCCACGGATATGGGGCGTTTTTCCGCGGATGCCCCGCGCGTAACGTACCCGTTCGACCGTGAATCTGTGGGATCTCGCCCCGGAATCCAGACCGCGAGGGCGCGGATATGGATGTGTTCGCCGCTCGTGATCAATGGTGCGACCCCTGACCCAGCAGGGACAAAGGAGTACTGCAGGTTCTTGTCGTGACGACCCTGGTGTTGGTTTCTGACACCGCGTCGACCGCTCAACCTTGGACGATCGGCGGCTTTCCGATCGCCCGATCCTTCCACGTAGGCCGATTCTGCGCCACTGGCGGCATTGAACCTTGGACGCCCGCGCTGGGCCGCCGCCGGTCGGCACAGCGCGAACCTACCGTAGGCGAGGCCGCCGTGAACAAACGCTGCGGAACACGCTGCACGTTGAGACTGATTGCTGCAAGAATCGTGGACCGACGCTGGACGAGTCTGCCATGCCTACTCCCACCCACCCGGGTCTGATCTTGAAGTCCTCTTAGCTCGCGAGGAGGCGGTCAGGAATTTGTGGCACTGTCCACTTTCGGAATCAAGACGGCTCCAAAAAGGGTCCCGAGGCTTCCACAAGTGCCCACGTGGACAGTGGCCCACCAGGACCCAAAAGAGTGCACAAGATGGGCCCAGTGAACCAAGATGGTCTTCAAGACGGCCCAGACGCGGCCCAAGACCGTCCCAAAAACTCCCGAAGACGCCCAACATCCAATCGAAAAGGCCTCGTGATCCCCCAAAAGTATGCCAAGCTGGTTCCAAGAGGCCCACAGAGAGCCCTGTCGGAGGCCTGGAGGTCGGCACTAACACCAGCATCGGCGGCTGCCTCCATCGATGTGAGATGTTCCTGATCTCGGTGTTGGTGAAAACATTTGGGCTTCTCAGATGGCAAAGAGATTACCACCACCACCCAAATCCAAGATCATCTTGCCACGGTGGAGGCAGCCACCTGTGTTGGTGTTGGTGCCAATTCCCAGGCCCCTAATCATGAGAAAGCCCAACATCGCCCAAACAAAAGACAAACATAGGCCCGAGAGTGCTCTAAGAAGGCCCCTCGTCGAGACAAGCCAACATTGCCGCAACCTGGTGAAGCAGAAGGCGCGGTCCGTCGGCCCATGCTGTCCGTGTCGTGAACTGGTCTGTTGAAGTGCGCGTCAAGATGTCTGAGCTGCTGATCTCTTCACATCCATCGACGCCTCTCACTCGTATATCGAACGACATGCTCCTAGAGTCCACACATGCCTTTGCATCCAACTAACTCAAATTCGGCATACTCTGTACACAATTTAACCAAACTACCTATGCATCTGCATGCCGAATATCTATACGTAAGGTTACTGGATATACGGACCATTCAACACACACAGCTGACCACATGTTGGTCCTGATTTAGGAACTCAGCGGCGAGCTGCCATGAACTGATGTTTGGAAGAATGTCCCTGAGCGGCGCCCACCACCTCCCCGCGCGATCCGCCTGTGTTAAAAAAAACGATACGCTGGTGACACGTGATAGCCAGAAGAGGGTTAATTAGACTGTCTCGTATTGCTTGAGCGTGCGTTCGCAACACGACGATCGAACGTTTTCCAGGCGCAGTGCCGCTGCCGACCAGCATGAATCTCATCCTGAGCACCTCGCCGCTGAATGAGGAACGGATGGTGCCGGTGGCAAACTAGGCTGGTTGAGGCTGATTGCGCGGCCCACTCCAGACACGACCAGGAGCGGCGCCCTCCGCTGAGAAATGCTCTGCGCTGTCGCGAGGCACAGCGCGCGAGGGAACAACGGGCCAAGGGGCCAAGATTACCCAGCCGAAGCTCTCGGGGGCCCTTCCGCGCGGGAGAAGGGGCGTCGCGGTCTGGGCCAGGATGGACCCACCTCCTGCCCACAAACTCCCCCCCCCCAGGCGGCGCCCCTTGGAGACGGGCAGCATGGTGCCGCCCGGCGCCTGCGCGGGGGGGGGGGGCTGGCTCAGTCAGCACAGAATCGTCGCGTCGAGCGCAAAGGTCGGGACACCCTGAGGGCCAGAGCCGAGATACTTCCGAGCCGTCGCGCGAAGGGAAGCCAAGCTCAGCTCCCGCAAGGGAGGGACGTACGAACTATGCACACACACACGCATCAATACTGACTGTCCCCCCCCTGACCCAAAACGATGACGTCGCCTCCTTGGTCTGGTCTAAACTCTTTTGAACACTACCCAGAGGAAATGCCTCAACGAATCCCAAGGCTCCACGAAGCCACCACAGGCTTCCCCGAAGCCCTCTGGTGGCCCTGAGAGACCATACTTACATATTGAGGAAACACAGGCTTGCATCGTCGTTTGCTTCCCACTCTTCTGTCCAGGACGGCTTCGGAAAGGCTGAAGTGTGCCCTGCGGCAGCACGCGATGGCCACATGAAGCCTCGAGACTGCCCTGGATGGCCCCGAAGGGGCCAAAACATTGCCCGACGACCCCAAGGCAGAACCAAGACTGCGACAAGAAGGCTCCATTGGCCCAAGGCCCTGAGACCCGTCCAAAGGGCCCCCGAGATGAATCCACCGAGCCTCCTTGGGAGAGCTCGGTTGAGCGATCGCGCCACAAAACGACCTCAAGACTCCAAAGTCCCCCAAGAGGGTCCCCACAATTCCTCCGCTGCCCCCGATCGGGCCCTAGCAAGGCTGCAAGCAAAACGGGTCTTGGAGATGACGGCAAATGATTGCCTGGCGCTGCTATGCGCGACATCCGCGAAACGTGCGGCGGAGGGCGGAGACGACACGGATGCGCAAACGGGGCCTCCGATGCGGGGCCGCCCATGCCAAAGGGCTGCCGCGAAGGGCAACTGATGGATTCCCCCTCGTTGGACCAGTGCACTGTGCATTCCAAGGCGAGTCAAGGAGGCTCGCCAAGCAGGCCCATGACGCTCAAAGACTACTCCAAGACGGCCCGAAGACGGACCCAATAAAGCCCAAGACGACCCAACGACGGGCTGCAGACGACGCACTATGGGTCTTCATCGACCTCCGCTGCCCAAAATTGACGAAATATTTACACGACAAACCCTGGGCCTTCGGTGGGCTCCAAAACAGGTCCATGAGCTACCAAAACAACTACCCGCAAAAACAAGACGGCCAAAGATCGACGTACGGCCGCGTCCCTCCGGAATAGTGGCCCACCTCGACTGCCCCACGCAGAAGAAACCCACGCGGTCCTGGGTCATTTCTGTCTACGCTATTGTTTCCTCTAAGGACGAAGTCACTCGGCATCCGTTGCACAGGTACGCATCTCACGGAAAATGCGAAAACAAAACTCGCAAAACATGAAACAGCTTGATTTCTCAAACCAATCAAAACATGAAAATACCGTTTTTTGGGCGTCGCCAGAGGATATGCTTGCGTTGGCCTTCAAGGGGCCGTAAAACCTACACAACAAGCGCCCTAAAGAATGGTGTCGATTAGAAGCCGCATGCCCATGCCAAGCCAGACCGCCCCCCTAGGATTGCCCGATCGATGCTCAGGGAGGCACAGCGGCAACCCATGGAGCGGACACGACCGTGGCACCCGATATCGCTGCGGCGGATCGGGCCCCCTCCCTGTTGTGCTGCAACGTGTCCACGCTGCACGACTGACGCCACACCGAGACCAGCACACAAAGGCCTGCAAAAAGGGCGTGTAGTCACCGTGCGACCACAAGGACAGCTGGATAGTGAACGAATGGGCCTCTCCGGCCACGGTGGGCCACGGCCACGAAGCGGATTCCCACCTGGACCTGAGGAACAACATGACAACCAGAGCACCTCCTAAGCCCAGAATGGTCCTTGTGTCAGAACCTTGGCTATAATCATACCGCTGCTCCGAGCGGCAAAATATTAGCTTTGCCAAACATGTCAGATGTGCCCTCCTTCTCATCATGCTCCCTCTCTTCCCATTCCTCCGTCTCCTCCTCCTCCTCCTCCTCCTCCTCCCAAACCTCCTCCTCCTCCTCCTCACACTTCCGCCTGCTGCACCCTCGCCATGGAACTCCCACTTCTACGCCTGCTCCCCTTACTCCCTTCCTCCCATTTAGTCATCCGACTCATCCTCCGCCCTGTCATTCCTTCCTCTTCCGCTTCGTCTCCGTCGTCGTGGTCATGATGCGCGATGATCTGCTCAGGACTTGTTGCCCTGGCGCAATGAACACCACAACTCTCGAAGACTCCATCCCTCAAGAACAACCTGAATCGGAAACAGGCATTGGACTGTTGCAAGGCCTCTTAAGGTAACTTTCCTGCGGTCTCTCGAAGGGCCACGGCAACTCTATTACATGAGTCAGCACGGGGATACGGAGATGCTCTGTGCGCGCATTGTATATACGCAGGTACGGCCACAGCATGCGACATGACAATCGTGCCAACCACACCATCCTGTCTCTGGTCTGACACACCTGCCTGGACAGCCATAGGGGCCGAGGAGTGGTCGCCGCCCCCGAGGGAGATGCTGGTGAGGTTCGGGTCCTTGTCTGTGGCGGCGGGGTGCCTGCCGGCCAAAAGGAAACATCGCAACGAGACTGCTGTAAGACAACGTGATGCCATGCAACCTGATCTGCAATCGCGCTGAGGTCACCGATGGGCAAGGCGCGCGCCGGAGCGGCACCGATCTAGAAAGGTTGGGCTCGACGAGGCCAGCCTCGAGCGAAATGGCACACCGAGGAAGTAGCAAGCCTAGGGGAGTGTGGCCTCAAACACTGCTCACATATGGCCAACACAATGTCGCCTGGATATGTGTTTGAACTATTTCCCGGAACCGGCTGTAACCAAAGTGGGAGGGTGGGGCTCCGGACAATGGCAACGCTTGGGCGGGGTAGGGCGCGCTGCGACCGCGACAGCTTGCGCGAGAGCATCAGCATGTTTGGGAGGTTCAGGCTCTCCCCCGTACGATTGTCACCGCCAACGGGGGGGAGGGGGAATGTTCGGGTAACGCCTCTTACTCGCCAGAGGATAAACAAATATATCTCACGGGAGTGTTCAGTGTGGCCTCAAACACTGCCGACGCATGGCGAACACCACTTTGCCAGCTTCATCAGGCCTGCCCGCCCGTACGGTTTCGAGCTTCATCCCGAAAATCGGCTAGTCGACGAACTCCTGGCTAAGCACGCGCAGGAAGCGAGGGCGGCGCCGTGTGCACCGTGGATGCTGCCTGGATCAGCTTTGAAGCGTCCACTCAGGGTCACGTGTTCTCTCCAACCTCAAAGAGCCAACTATACCTGGGACTCTTTTCCTGGATGTGTAAGACTCTGGATCCTGTTATGGGCTGCATCCAGATGGCTCCAAGATGCGCTGATGTGTATCTGAGTTCTTCGCTCGGACACACACCTATATATATATGTGTATACACGCATAGATGTACAACAGCGAACAGATAACAGCACACCGATAAATAATGATTTACCCGCATGGTTATGATGCTGTACCGAGTTATCCTGACGGTGACCTGACATTGTCATGAGCTGATGCGGCGATTTGTTCAAGCCCCTCCAGCTTAACCTCGATAGGTCTTTAGACAACCCCCGGGACTATTGGCAACTAATTCCACCAGCCCTCTGGGCGTAGGTGGTTTCACTAATTTTGTCTTCTCTCTCTCTCTGCCCAAACCCTTGCTTCCCCTGCTCTGGGGAAGGGTTTTTCACTTTCCCAATGAAAACGCACCCCCTCCCCCAGGCCACCGGCAGCCAACCAGAAACATTGAGGGTCACCCCCCCACCATCCATTTCAAACAACAATGCAAAACGCACTCTGCTTCCACATTTGGAGCATGCGCGGCCAAGCCGATGCGGCCCCCCTGCACCATCCCTGCCAAAAAAAACGTACAACGTACACTTTGGGGCAAAGTCTTGAGTCATGTTCGTGAGACCCGCGAGCATTTTGTTTTGCTTTTGACAGGGACAGCGGGGGTCAACATATTGCCTGCTGCGCGCAGGGCTACCATCGCTGACAAAAAACAATACAAAATACACCTCGCGGAAAAATCTGGATCATGCGCGGCCGGCCCGCGATCACTGTCAAATGGTGGCGTATGGCCTGCTGTGCGCCGGTCCACCAGACACAATGATGGGCATTGGTTTTCGACATGAATGGTGGGGGCCGACACGTTTCCTGATGTGTGCTGTCACGTGCGCAGGCGCACCTGACACCCTCTGCACGTGCCCCGAATGTGGGGCACCTGGCGCGGCTGGAGTATGCGGCACACCTGGCGCACGCGGGGGCACGTGGCGCATCTGAAACACCAGGCGTGCCTGGCACGCTCAGGTCCCAGGGGTGCCTGGCGCGCGTGGCGCGCCTGGCACGCGTGGCGCACCTCGCCCCAGCGTCGCGCACATGGGCTCGGTTTTGGTTCCCAGTAGCTGTCCATCCAAAGACGACCGCTGAACATGCTGAGGCTCGGGTGTCACTCATGTGATGGGAGAGCGGGTGGAAGCAAGACGGCTTGCGGGCCGGTGGGTAGCTTGACCCCTCCTCCTACCACCTACCCTGGGCCTGGGAGGAGGGGCGCAAGGCGGCAGAGCCACCAAGATGGCCCCAGATGGCTTCAAGAGGGCCTCAGAGAGCTCAAAATAGCCTCCAAGATGGCTCCAGATACCTCAAGATGCTTCAAGATAGCCTCCGACGCACATCCACGAGGCATCAAGACGGCCCCAAGACGGTTCCAAGTGTCTTCTGAGTCCTCCAAAGACCCCCCAAGAACCAAAATCATTCAAACACTGGCGGACGCCTATTCGCTGCCGCTGGGCTCTTGAGGCCTCAAATGGCTCCAAGACGGCCCAAAAGAGATCCAAAAAGGGCCCACGAGGGCCCAAAGAGGGCCCCAAGAGCGCCCAGGAGCGGCCCAAGAGCGGCCCAAGAGGGCCTCAATACATACTCTGTCAGCCTCCGATGGGGAGGGCCTGACTTTATCCTCCCTTCTCTTTTTGAGCCATGGGGCCCAAGACGACTCCAAGAGGCCACCCACGTCCCCCCAAAGAGCACCCCCCCAACAAAAAGCTCCAAGAAGAGGGCCCCGAGAATGCCCCAAGTGGCTCCGCGAGGACCCCAAGAGAGACCGAATATTGCTTTAAGAGACCTCCGAGAAATCACTCCCATGGCGGTTGCTGCACTGCATGCCTCTACACGTCCCTGGTCAAAACAACTCACCTGGCGATATGTTTCTGGATGGGCTGGCGGGGGTACGCGAAGCGTCAAAAGATACTTGTTCGGCGGCCGTATTGACGGACTCGGATCCCACCAATATGGGAGCATAAGAAATAAATTCTCCGCGACGCCTGCCGCGCAACAGCGACGACGACGACGACGACTACGACTACGATTGCGACTACGACCACGATATGATTACGGCTACGGCTGCGGCTACGACTACGAGACGTAGATTGTGAGCAACTCCTTCGGCGAAAAACGTGCTGATCTCGCCGAGCTATCTTGCAACCCGCTTGCAAACGTGCTTGACATTCCTCGATCGTGCAGGGTCACCCAGAGACAATTACTCACTGGGAGACCCCCCCCAACAAAAACAAAACATGATCCAACGCGGCGAACATGAGTGGGAGGATGGAAGGAAACCGCGCCGACGACGACCACGACGATCACGACTACAATCACGATTCCAGTCACGATTACAATCACGATCGCATCCACGATCACAATCATAACGACAACGACACCCAGATGCCTTCGAATCCTCTCGCGTGTAGGGTGGCCCACAATGGATTTTATTCCCTAGGAGAAAGAAGCCCCTGATATGATCCAGCCCGCCTGAAAATAAAGGGAAAATGATCTCCGCCGCGGCGACGACGACGGAGGAGGAGGAAGAAGAGGAGCAGGGAGGGGGGCGAAGTTGTTTCCCGCCGAAAGAGACAGGGGGAACCCAAACTCAAAGACGGATGTAGGCTACTCAGAGACTGCCCGACTCTCTTGCGGCCATGTCGTGGGCTGCGCCCGAACCCCGAACTGGCCAGGCGCGGTGAGTGGTGTGCAATGAATACAGCAAATGTTGACCACCACCTTCGTCAGTGTGCATGCCGGCACTGGGGGATCTGGTCTAAGGCTATGTATGGACTGCTGGGATACGCACCTCGGCAATCGACGAGTGGAGCTGTCTGCACCATTTTGTAAAACGCCCTAGAGTGCGACTGCGACATGACTACGTCGACCTGCGCTTGAGGCCACACCGTGGCGCATGGGGGGCACTATCAAAGGCAACTGGCTGATGAAACTCGTAGTTGGAGAAGAGCTCACTGGCTTGAAGCAGACGGCGCCGCGGGGGCCGATGCTCGCTTCCCCACGGGTGGCAGCGCGCGCGGTCGCCGAGCCGAGGCCCTAGCGCGCGGGCCGCCCCGCAAGCCGACCCGCCCCGCCAGCCCCGCGCCTGGTGGCACTTCGTGAGGATTTCGAGGCGAGCCCAGGCGCGGCGACGAGGGCCTCCCAAGGGACCCACAAGCGCGAAAACGACAGAAGGGTAGCGGTACCGGTACCCTTTCTTCCTTTGGCTCCCGCGACCTCTTGCCGTTCGCCTTCGCTTGGCTTGCCGCCTGGAATGCGCGGTGATTGCTGTCACTTCCCTGCTGCCCCCGCCTGTCTCCGAACCCCTTTCCCTGGTGCCGTATCCGGCCAAAAATCCAATGGACCTTGAACCGCATCTGCCTCAACGAGGGCCCTTGGTCATTTGAGTTACGTTCCTTCGCAACGCGGGTTCACAATAACGATATGCGATCTTCCATCTCACACGCGCAGCCCGCGGTCTTGGTTCCCGCGCCGCCGCCGCCTCATCCGAACCTAGCAACCTCCCTCCGCAAATCTGTCGCATCGCCCCGCCGCGAGCCCCACATCGCGCCTGGCGGTCCCCCCGCGCCCTCCTGTATCCCCTTGTCGTGTCTCCGCCCTCCAGCCCCGCCCTCCTCCCTGAGGGTCAACGACGGGAGGGAACTGGCTCACAGGGGTAACCTCGACCTGGAGTCGGACTTACATCGCCGATACGTCGACGATCGGCCTCCGATGGCGAAGCCGCACTACCTTTCTAGGACAACTCAAGAGAAGTCGCCAGCCTGGCCACTGCCGCCGCGACCTGTCGCCAGAGCTGCGCCCCGCCGACTGGACTTCCCAAGGCTCCGCTGCGGGGAGGTCCGCGCCCGCCTGCGCCAGTGCCAGGAGTCGAAAGTGAACCTGGTAACTCAAATAGGGCATATAGCCTGGCAAATTGCATCCATCGCTCTGCTGTGAGGGTACAGTATGAGGGGTGGATGGGTAAGATAGGATAAAATCGATGTAATGATCTTTCCAGCACATAGCGAACACAAGCAGTGTCCGGGCAAATAGGGCGCGCGTGCCTTGAGCCCAAGGCAGCGGCGCGCGAGCTATGCTCCCGATACTGTAACATCTCCCAAAGAGCTACCCTTAAAGTCGGGAGGGGAGGAGACGGAGAGCATAGTCGCACGCAAAGATCGCGCGCACGACTGTTTGCAAAGAAAAGAAAACAGTGCGTACAGTCTG